ATCATGAAAAGTAAACCTTATTTTCAATAAGCAATCCTGAAAAATATTTGGGGTGCTTAACTTTTTTCCAGGTGTATATTTTCCTATCAGCAGCCAGCATGCTGGAGTATGCTTTGCTGTTTAAGTATTGCAACCATGTTTTCATGTGTACCACATTTACCAGCTTTGTATTCTGCCCAGCAAAATGATATATTTTCTACTAGATATTATAACTTCCCAGCTACAGAGTTCTAAACACCCTACAGTCATGGGCGCCGATCCAGACTGTAAGATCGGAGTGGGTGGGGACTATTAAAGGAAAACATTGCTTAACGCCATTAATTAGAAAAAGTTCACAGTGACCAGCAGAGGGGGGTGTTTCACGTTATTCGGTAATATTGACAACAGTATTTCATTGCATCTTATTGTTTCCAAAAATATAGTAATGTAATTGTTGTAATAGTAGTAAAATTAATAATATTTCAAGATATTGTTACGTCTCCGTTTGTTAATTAACTTCCCGTAACTTCGTTCCGACGAAATTTTAGCGACACAAATATTTACTTAATAAAACTGGTTTATTCTTTCCGAATATAACTCTGCGATACACTTAATCTCAATATTCGTGCTAAAACAAACAGTATCACGAACGAACGTTAACTTCAACAATACCCTGTGACTGCAGTTCAATTACTCACTGTCCACACACACATTACATTCCCCTCTTATATATATACCAGCCTACCCCATCTAGTAAATACTAGAGTATTCCTGAAGGAACAAGATAGTTCTAGAAACTAGAGGGCGCCACACCAGTCACGTGACCTCGATGACGCAACAATATTGTTATTTAGAAAGAAAATAAGGTCACCCACTTTAATATTTTCCAAATAGGTTTTGTCTAATGTGTGTGTTCTGGAACTGAACCCTTTTTTCAATGCAGTAAGGTCCGGCATGGCCAGGTGGTTAGGGCGCTTGACTCGTAATTTGCGGGTCGCGGGTTCGAATCCCTATCCCACCAAACATGCTCGCTCTTTCAGCCGTGGGGATGTTATAATGTTACGGCCAATCCTACTATTCGTTAGTAAAAGAGTAGCCCAAGAGTTGGCGGTGGGTGGAGTGATGACTAGCTGCCTTCCCTCTGTTCTTTCACTTCTAAATTAGGGATGACAGTGCAGATAGTCCTCGTGTAGCTTTGTGCGAAATCCATAACAAACCGATCAATGCAGTAAGATAAAACAATAAGAATTGGACTGCTAATTAGAGAAGTAATTCTAGGCTTTCTAAAAATAAAAATAAAACGAATCCCTTGTTTTTAATATACATCACACGTCTGTGATGCATTTAATATATTTTTACGTTAGTTGGAACAAAATTATAACTTATTTTCTTTAAACTTTACGAGGGTTTTCTTTTTTTATCTTTTCACGCTGATATTTAGACAAAACGGTAAAATCGGTGTTTTGAACATTTTCAGTTAATAGCTTTTAACTGTTTGTTTAAAACATATTCTTACGCATTTACTGGAGTCGATTCCGCCATTCTTATTAATACTTTTTTAATACGCGACGACTTTTGGGATTTAAGTAATAAAATCTCTTCCAGAAAGTACAGATTGAAGTGTACTTTGTATGCTTCTTAAAGCATCGGGACACTTTAAAATATGGCCGTAAGCTAAAGAAGTACATTACATTTCACGTCGGCTGCTATTTGGGGCACAACCTTGGAAACCGCCGTAGGACGAGAGTGAAGTTTAAAGCAACATCAAGCAGGTCACGTTTACAGTTTCTGATCGGTTTAATTTCTGAAATGTGGCGTCCATTGCGGTCCAGTCTAAAACACAAATACACACACACACAAAACAGAGATTATGGAACATATATATTCTAAGAAGTCTTTGAAGTGGGAGATAGATACATATACCACCCCACCCTATCTGCTGAAGGTGTAGAGTACCTGTCTTACTCTTCCTTCCAGGATCGCCGCTTATGACCAGGGCATTAAGTACCACACCATCAAAGCTATGCAAAAAAGACGTTGTGTTGCTTATATCAATGAATTCTAAATGGAATGTTAATGAAACTACTTTATGAAGTAATCTAACTCTTCCTGTGCTGAACTCTTGAAATGTAGAAGTAAACTTTACTTTGTTTTGTTACTTCCAGTCAGATGCAACAAGAGCAACTGTTTATTGCTAGTTTCATCCACAAAATATGGCTGCAAGGCTAGCATCAGTACAGGCATCAATTCTGATTCTTGATTAACTGGAATTCTCAACTTCTGCTACTGTTCGATCTTCTGTCACGTTTGTTTGAGCGATGCTTTGCCATATTAATAGTATCATTGCTTGGGGCCGATTGAGCACGAGTTTTATGTTGATGTAAGGCATCGACATTTTTTCTCTATTCACAGCAAAACTCCTAGTTAGTTCAGAATACATCATGTTTGTTTGTTGTGTTGGTGACCATAATGTCTAGAGACGGATAGGGACAGGGAAGTGAAAATCAGTGGCCCATTGTAATTTGTTTCTCATCACTATTAAAGGGTTCGCCCAGGGTAGGGCTCTAGGGGTATTAGATGCCAATCTGCGTGGGTCACCGTAAAGTTTATTTAATTTCGATATTCACACAAAGCTTCTTAAAGACTACTTTTGCTAGCCATTCCTCTTTTTTAACTGATAAACTAGAAAGAAGTGAGCTAGTCAACAGCTCTTGCTGCCAACTCTTAGACTACAGTAATTGAACAGCAGGGTTTGTACATCACTTTTATAATTTCCTATCAGCCCCAAAATTTGGAATGTAATTTTGTGGGAACGACACGTTAACAAAGAGCTTTGGAGTTACGGTTTGGCATGCTAACACCTAGACCATGTCCAATCCCTTAATGAGCTGCCCTAGGAGTATTAGCAGGTCTGCAATCAGTATTTCTCCATAGTAACTTTCTAATGGCACTTTTGGACTTGTATCATCTACATGAGACTTGTGCATCTTTACCACATGCTAAAGCTTCAGCAACACGATATTTCTTTCCATTATTTTTATTAAATGTTACTAGAAACAATATGAGTTAAGAAATTTTAAAGTGATTCAGTCTGTTTGGCTTTGTCAAATTTCTGAGATTTCTATTTATTTATTTTTTGTACCACTGTCAGCTTTGCCTCCAGTTTGAACCAATGACAGAGACAGATATATTGACGTCAGAGTACTTAAGACGTTCCAGCTAGGATATTAAGCTTAGCCTACGAATCGCAAAAGTAGACGTAATTTGGCATGCAAATTATTAAACTTGTGGAGTAGTAACGTTACAGGTGTTGGATGTTTTGAAAAGTGCAGAGAAGGTCTCAGTAATTAATATATTGTCACGTGTAGCAGATTTTTAAAACCGTGTTAGCCTTGTTTTTGTAGTAATTTATTTTGGAGTTTATTGTTTTTGTTTTTTCAACACTGGTCTGCCACAGTCAACTTTTCAACTATTCAGTCTACGAGTACGAGTTGAACTTGAAGAATGGCATTAATGTCTGGACACGAAGGGAATAAAGAGAAACGCAAGTAGGATCACAATCAGCCTGTGTCATCATTATAAGTTTAATGTTAGGCTTTACCTAAGCTAGCTGTAAAATACTCTGTGTATTGGACTCTGGAATAATAGATATAAAAAAAATAAAAATTATAAAATTACTTTAACTAGTCAAAGTGTTTTAAGAGTCAGACTCAAGGAAATTATTTGGAGGTTAATAACTTATATTAATAGTTGGCAAAGCTCTAACTTCGAAGGGTCGAAGGTTGAGTATAACTATAAGTTACGTGGTATAAACTATAATTATAAAAGTAAAATTTATGAAATCTCTTATTTTCATTCTTATGATTTTTCACAAAACCTAGTGAAGAACTTGGCACCAGACATTTTTAATGAGAAACTAAAGAAGTCTATGGATTGAGATCATGTGATTATTATTATTTTAAGTGTAATATTGATAACATTACAAAAATAGTGTACTGTTGTAAATCTAAATATTAAGATTGTGGTATCTAATTTAACCATGGGACTATTTTCACTAAATAAGAAGTAAATGTATGATTGGTTTTGTTTTAAACATGCTTTTAACATAGTTAAAGGAACAATTATGAATAGTCTTTTAATCGGGGAAGTTAATGTCATTTTTCGAGAGTCAGGTGAAGATGATTTTGAAAGGAAACACACTGGGCCAAGTTTTTCCATTAACACATTATGTTTTTATGTTCTAAATTGTCTGGTAACAGAAAATATGGTAGTAGGTTATTCAACCCATTTAGATACTCGTATACAGTTTTTATTTTTTTAAATCAAACTTTAAATATAGTTTTTCACATTCATGTATCTATTCAAAAACTTTTTTAAATAATACAAATTAGGTGCATAAATCACATCATCAGGTAAACCAATCCCTAAATTTATCATTCTAATCAAACAACATTTGACAAAGAGTAAGTACATCAAGGCTTTCAGAGCTTAAACCTATTTTGTTTCCAAGGGGACAACTTGGGGCAATTTGACTCGTATAGGTTTTTTCATTTTCTGTTATCCCTATTGAAATTGTTATTCTATGCATTTTCATTCTTCCATTCCAAAAGAAACCTATAAGTGGTTTTGATTATATGAAGTCATCGCTAATTCTGTGCTCCAAAGAAGACAAGTTTTAAGCCTCTCTTATTGTAGCACAGATTAATATTAAAGTTGTGGAAAGATAAGGTTGGAGTGAAATCTTAAACATTACATGGAGAAGTATAAGTTATAAAACCTGAAGTCCAGGTTTTGTTAGGCAAAATTATTTTATTGAGGAAAACCTTACCGGATGATATGTGTGTGTGTGTGTGCTGATAGTTTGAACTTCGTTAAGTTCTTGTTAGATAATTTTATGACTGTGAGAAATTAAACTTAAGTTGGACAAGTTTCTTTGCTGGTGAACACAATGTTCCAAATAACCTTCCGTCTCCTGGTTGTATGAGCTTGTAGCTTAAATGACTTAAATAGGGGACCATAACTGCATTCAACGTTCCAAATAAGGCCTAACAGTGTATCAGTCTTATTCAAGGCTACAACAACCTTCTTAAATTTAAGAATCTAATAAATACATTTAAGAACTCTCCATTCTTTTTTTCAACAATACCAATACTGCTCTCGGGCAAGAAGCAAGTCATTTTCGTATGTTCCTAGTTCAGGTGCCTAGTCTTCTACTTTTCAGTATCCAAAACCCATCATTCACATTCAGATCCATTCACGAAAACTTGGGTTTTAGTTTTGATTAATAAAAAAAAAGTTAATTTGCTAATGGGGAAAAAAGAAAAGAAATAAAATTACGTTCACTCGAGGGAATGCTATCAGGAAGATTACATTCCGTCATGTAATGTTGCATTTGCTCATGAATTATTATTTTTATTTAATCCATGGAATATGTTCACTTTCATTGGTCATAAATAAAGGAATACGGATGAACCATGTATTCCCAATGGGGAAGGTGAACTAGAGAGATGAAATTGCTCAAGCATAGTTAAATTCCTTGGGAATGTAATATTTCAATCCCTGGCTAAGTGAATTGGGTAGAATAAGTAGAAATATTACCACTCGAGAAATTATCCAAATGATAAACATAAATAATGAAGGACAAAATTTGTGAAAACACTTGAACCGACACCTCTAGTCACATTTTCCTGGTCAGCAAATGTCTTTTCTTTTTTTTGTATAGCATATGCATTATTTCTTTTAGCCATTTGTTGTAATTTTCTGAAAGTGGATTGTAAGTTCTACAAGTTTCGTTTACCTATTCTTGACCTAAGTTTTTGTGTGTGTGTGTGTGTGTGTGTGTATATATATATATATATATATATATATATATGTCATCCATGTTTGGTAATAAAGTAACATGATTTTCTTGGTTTGTTATTGTTAGAACTTATTGAGTAGTTTGGCTGATGAGGTATGATGGGATTTATTGTTTCATTTATTTTACGTTTTGTTGGCTTGTTATATTTACGTTCTATTTAAATAGTTACAATTAATTTAATTTTAATTGTTGAGAAGTGAGTGACCTTGAGTGTGTGATTTCCTTAAGTAATTTTTTTTATGTTTTTTTGCACAGGTTAGGTGTCCCAAAATATATCTATCTCAGCAATACTGTCACATTCTTAGCACAAAGCTGTATGTTTATTAATGTAATTATAAAGGAAACTTGATGATGAAAGAGTTTTGGCATTTTGCCAAAAGAAGCCAGTAGATTCAGCATGTGTTTTTATTTAACTGAACTATAAGGTCAGCTAATGGATGAGGTGATATTGCAATATTTTTGTGAAATATGATATTGGTGTTTGTATTCTAAAACAGGAAGCACAAAGGTATAGACTTAGAAACTTTCCCATAAATGATGAAATTTTATGTAAGAGGAAAGATCACAGGTTTCAAGTGTTGTAAATAATAAGCTGAATGTTTTTATTTTCCCCTCTGAGATTTATAATGCTCGAAATGGGGCTTTTATACCCATGGTGGGCACAATGCAGATAGCCTATTGTGTAGCTTTGCACTTAACAACAATGTTTTCATTACTTGTAAATTTCAAATTTAATATTTTAGTAATGATAAACTCTTATATCCAAGGTGGTACTAACAGACTGATATGCTTTGTGGTTTTATTGTTAGGTATTAACCCTTTCACTGCATCTGGGATATATATTTCCCAGTGCTCCCACTCCCTCACACTGTGACTGGGATCGAGTCAAGTCAAAGTTAATCATTGGCTTTAGGTCCAGGTTTAAATTGATAATACTGAGTATTTGAACTTGGAGATATTATAGCCCCAAAAGTTAAATGCATATTACAGTATATCTAAATATACTTTTTAATATATTTATATCTTATGAAAAAAAAGGCATTAATCAATTAGTATATTAAGATACACACTCAAACTATGTTAATAATCTTATTAACATTTATTTTTATGTGCTATAACTTGGGCCTCTGTTGGGCCACCATGATGTTCCATGTATGTTGCAAAGTGCAGAATCCGTACCTCCATTGGTCTAATGGAATTGTAGGAGAGGGTCAAGGTCCCTATCTCTGAAACTCAAGTAAACAGTTGTGTTAGCCAACTTTCAGACACCCTGTACTGTTGATATATGTTAAGATGACTTTGAAGCTTTAAAAACTATTATCACATTATATAAAAGTCAATTTTATTAAACCATGTCATTTTATGTGAAATTTAGAATAACTGTTTTTTTGTTACATGTATATATAACATCAATAAGCTGATTGATTTGGATGTCTCACTTTAAACATTAATGCAAGTTCATATTTTATGACCTCATAAGCATAGACATAAAAATCATCATACTATGAATGGATAGTTAAGGTATTGTGTAATTGAGTTTTTTGCTATTTACAGTTTTTAACAATTTGAATAGTGTTGTAAAATAACCAGTAGTTCAAATTTTATAATTTTAATAATTCCTGATCAAAAAGAAGTTAACTGTATTTATAAGAACTGAAAAGTAATTACAAAGTAATTAATTAATTATGTGACAAATTGACTAGAAATACGTAGTGGTATAAATCTATATTCCCCCAAACTAAAACTTCTAAAAAAAAAAATGCATTTTATCACCAATTGTGCTGTCTCAGTAATCCCAAAAATATCTCGTCAGGTTTCAGTTGAACTCACTAAAGAAACACAACAGAGAGAAGGTACAGAACTTACTTTGATCTTACTGAAGTTTACAAGATTAGTGGAGGTTGACACCTTTTAATATGATTTCCTGAAAATTAAAGGGTGGGTTTAAGTTTTGATGCTTTTCAAGAGTAGCTGTGAAAGGAGAATCTTGAAGGACCAAATGGTCCCTTGTTGTTTGCATGTTGTGTACTGTGTTCAAACAAATTATTAATACCAAAGTCACTCCTCTCCCTGACGATGTGAACTTGAGGAACAGATAACTTGAAGTAGTATAGTAAATAGGCAAACTCTGAGAACTAGCTGATAGGATTTCGTAACAGAGGGGCACAATTTAATAGCCACATTAAATTGTTTTTCTTAAAAACACATGACTGAACTACAGTTATAATTGTTTTTGTTTAATTAAACAACTATATGTGTTGTATATTTTATCTCCCCCCACAAACACGCGTACAGAATGTTCCAATTAATCCTTTTTCACTATGTCATTTTATATGCCTGCCTGCTTGCTAAAAACCATAAGGTATATTTTGATACTTGCTTGTACAATGTTTGTGTAATATTACCCACTGCATTAATTTATACTCCAAGTATTACCAAGCAAGCATTTACTCAAAATCATTACCATTTTGTTACTTAAATGTTCAAAGTTATACACTTGTTACTAATTGGAATAGTGATAGAATACTAATCACTTTATGAAAGTATCAAAACATTTGCTCTGTTAGTTTTTACAGCAATAATATACTAAGCACAGTAGTAAATGAACTATCACTTTTTACTTTTTTAATTAATTTTTTAAATATTTTCTTTCAGGGTTGTAACTTGTGATTTTTTTATTTGTACTAA